GCAGTTTAGGGAATAAGATCCATGAACTTGTGTAGATTTAGTTGCTGTTACTGAGACATGGTATAATGAGAAGAATGATTGGGACATAGCAATTCCAGGGTACACTTTATATAGAAAAGACAGGGAAGGCATGAAAGGGGGACGTGTGGCCCTGTATGTGAAGGATAGCATAAAATCGAGCCTAATAAAAGTTAGTGAGGCGAACGTAGAGTCCGTTTGGGTTACGTTAGAATTTGGTAATCACACAGTAACTCGTGTAGGTGTGATTTATAGGCCCCCAGGACAAATAGAAGAGTTAGATAATCTACTAGTTGAGGAAATAGCTAAAATGACAATGAAGGGGGAAGTTATCATCATGGGTGACTTTAATCTTCCTGGTGTAAACTGGTGTAAACTGGAAAACGAAAATAGCTACTTGTGCCAGGAGCACACATATTCTAAACTCCCTACTGCGATTGTCTCTAAAACAAGTCGTTGAGGAGCCAACTCGTAAAGAGGCCATACTAGATTTAGTGTTAACAAATGGAGATTTGGTATCAGATATTACTGTAGGTGAAAGTTTAGGATCCAGTGATCAACAGTCAGTGTGGTTTAATATATTGATACTTTAGAGAGAGTTCAGAGAAGGGCCACTAAACTGGTTCATGGATTGCAGGATAAAACTTACCAGGAAAGGTTAAAGGATCTTAACATGTATAGCTTGGAGTAAAGACGAGACAGGGGGGATATGATAGAAACATTTAAATACATAAAGGGAATCATCCCAGTAAAGGAGGAGACTATATTTAAAAGAAGAAAATCTATCACAACAAGAGGACATAGTCTTAAATTAGAGGGGCAAAGGTTTAAAAATAATATCAGGAAGTATTACTTTACTGAGAGGGTAGTGGATGCATGGAATAGCCTTCCAGCTGAAGTGGTAGAGGTTAACACAGTAAAGGAGTTTAAGCATGCGTGGGATAGGCATAAGGCTATCCTAACTATAAGATAAGGCCAGGGACTAATGAAAGTATTTAGAAAACTGGGCAGACTAGATGGACCGAATGGTTCTTATCTGCCCTCACAATTTATGTTTCTATGGTTCTGTGCTCCTCCTGATGTCTTCCCCAAGCAGGACAAACCTCAGTGATACAAACACTATGAATTCACATCTGATTGTCTGAACTTGTTAGATATCACAAGTTAAGTTCATTTTTCCTTCTCCTTGTGCATCATTTGGGTGGGGGGAGGGGTGTTAACAATGTATTGGTCTAATAACTACAAAGCAATTACCTTTCAAATCATCTTGTCCATGACAGTTTTATCCACACATTGTGCTAGCCAGGTTGCTAGAGAATGTATAGCTAAAAAATAATTTCTATATCATTTTGACATCTTTAGACTTTGGTGCAATGTCATATTCGTAGTGTATTTTCAAATATTGAGTCACATTGCAGGAAGGTAGCAGCGATGAGTATCCTTTAGACATGGGTTGTAGTGTCAGTTTAAATTTTTTTTCTATATTTATAGGACCGTCTCACTCCCCGGCTGGTATTTGTGTATTCCTCACTCTTGGGTCCCCTACCAAAGACCTGGAATTCTGAGAGTTCTACATAAAATCTTAGCTGTTCTAGAACTAAACTCTTCAGATATCAGCCGGAAGGAAGATCAGAGCCTCCCGAAGTACACTACGAAAATGTCTCCGAAAGATAAACTGCTGAGAAAGCCCTAGACACCAAGAGGCAGAGGAGATATATATACTGCCCCTTTAAATTATCTTTGGTGAATGCATTGTCTATGCCTGTCTGCCCTTGAAAGAAAGCAGAGTATGTTTTATAAATAAAACATTATAATACACTTGTTCTCAACTGAATAGAACAGCTGTTACAAAGACGCTTTTCTGGGTTATGCTCTAAAACAGAGTTTTTCAGAAATTGACCAAAGAGTTAAAATATTTACACCACAATATCCAAATTGAAATAATTCTTAATCTACTATTATTACTATTTATTGATATTATGATTATTATCGTTATATAGTGCCAAAATATTCCACAGCACTTTACAATTATACAACGGGATATCGAAATCGGAAGGTGAAGAAGGTTGTCTTCTAAAAAGCTTACAATCTCTCCTATCGAGCTTGTCTATCTTGGTCTAAAATGTGAACATTTCCAGTTAATTTTCCAATTTATATTATAGACCTGTCTATTCTATAAACTCCTTTCCCTCCACCTCAGTTTCCCGGGCCCAGGGCAGCTGGCTCTTTGGCTCTGCGCAAACAATGGCCTTCGTGGTTTAATTTCTGGAAATAAAATTATTCATATCATAGCGCAGATCATGAAAATTGAATATAAACATAGAAAATATTGACAAGGTTGGATGCTTTAATCCTTATTATATACTCTCATATTTCCGTCGCCGAGATCACCCGGCTAACAGAGGATTATTTATCCTTATGTTGCAGTTACATTTACTCCTGCTATCCCTGAAACCATTTAAAGAGGAGCGTTCCAGCACTGATACGGTTGATGATAATTGAAAACGTGACAATGGCGTAAACACGCTGTGTCTGGAGGCTTCCTTGCCTTCAATTCATGCACATCTTTTCTAATCTGTCCCCATGCTGCAGTACTGTATCCGTGTCCTCTCTGCTAGTTAAAACGGGTCACTGGCCACAGATTTGCTCTAATTTACAGAACTCTCTGTAACCCGTTAAGTTCCAGAAAAGGTTTTCGCCTTCGCTGCCAAAAACAGACAGCACTGCAGGCGTCTTTGGCAGCAGAAGTTTTAACCCATTCAGTGCCAGAGTGATTAGTTAGACGTCCTTCACTCCTCCCTCACTTGAAAGGTTAAAGTTCAACCTCCTCTTTAAAGAAAATAAATAAGAATTAGATCAAAAACGGGGGTAGGGGATAATGAAGAATAAAGATTTTTTTTCCTTTCTTTGTATGTTTTAATGTACTCAACAACATTTTGCTAAGTGAGATGAATAGATCTGTCAGTTATTTTGTGCTGTTACCCTCAGCCTGATGCACTGAAGCACATTGTATCTGGAAAAACACATTTTGCCTTTCCCCGTGCCATTGTTGACAAGCAGTGAATGCTATATACTTCTACGACACATTGATAGATAAATGTAGCTGCATTTTCTGTTGTTCCTGTAATTGCTGTCATGACAGGAAGGAGGGGAAAATATGTTGCACAGAAAAAAATAAAAAAATATCTCATTGGCCTCAAAGCATAAACCTCACCTCTAAGCTGTTCCTTCTGTCTAAGAGAAAAGCAGGGGGGAGCGGGGAGTCTGAAAATGATTAGCCCTGCCTTTTCCAATGAGATAGAATGCAGAAGGGTCCCTTTAGGGATTTAGTGAGGTGGCAAGGTAAAGAGGAGCCCAGATGATCACAGTTACAGTATCTGTGTGTCCCCATTTGTTGGTGTATGTTGTCTTTTCAAAGTCTGTCTTTGTGCACTTTGTGTAGGAATGCAATGTTTAAGCAGTTCAGCATGCAGACTCCTTCTCATAGCCAGATCTGCTGAAGTATGTAGCCATAGAGGAGTCAGATTTCATGGGTTTAGAGGAACTGGGAAGTTCAGTCGACTAAGACTGTGAGTGATTTTCAGAAGTGGTGGTTTAAAAAAACATCTGCCTTTTCTGAAACCCCAAAACCTTTCTGTTATGTTCCAAGCTGAATTCTGATAGGAACCGTCAATACTTACTATGCCTGGGGAGCAGAATCTCTATAAAGTAACACTCCAGACCTCTAAAGCAGTGTAGCTTGCTGATGTACTTTATGTGTAAAGAGTGTGTCCTCTTTTTTCATTTTACAAAAAGGCAGATTTCAATCAAAATTGACACTTTTATAAATAAAGCTTGTTACACCCCCCTGGCTGTCAATCAGACAACCGGCCCTGTTACTTCCTGGTTTGGTTAGCTCAGTGGAGCTAAACTCAAGAAGCAGCACTTGCCCAGAGAACCTGCCTTGCAAAGACTTATAATCAAGCTGCATTGGGAAGTCTGTGATTGGACAGCCACAGAAAGTCTGGGTGTGGTTAGAAGAGGATGGCTTGCAAAGACTGCAGACAAGAGATCTACAGCGCTTGCAAGCTGTTTTTAGGTATACCTAAATGTTAAAAATATAAATTATTAATGTTTTCATGAGTGATATATTACTAAAGAGTGATATTTTAATGTATTTTTTATTTGGGCAGTGCAGTGTATATTTAAAATGCTAAAGCAGTTAAGTAGTTGCCATTTTATACATATTTATGAAAAATAAAAGCTTTTTGAGGTTAACTTGCAAAAATTTGTCAAATAGATATTTTTTAAAATAATATTTATTAGCATTATACATAGATGTGTTATCAATGTTTTAAAAAAATAAAATAAAAAAATAGAAAAGGTGTAGCTGTATACACTAACAGTAAGACTAGTTTAGAATTAGTCTTCATTCAGAATGTTATACATTTAAAATATAGAAGTCTGCCTGTTTGTATGCCCTCTCCAATATAGCACAATCTGACACATTTAAGTTCTTATGTGTACACAGTGCTAGAGAGCTGAGTTATTGCCATCCAATGTTCATTTATGAAAAAATATAAATGCAACTACTCTGTTTGTAGACAGAAGCTGCCTATATTTGTTGAGTAATAGTATATGTTCATGAATGAAATTATGAATGAATGATAACTGGCCTTCACATTCTTTGCACCTATTGGATTTAAGCAATATGCACAGACCTTCTGTTTAAAACAGTGGGTGGACAAGAAATGGATGAAGATAAAAACATTTCAAACTTTGAAAACTTTTTTCCATTGAATTATCGGTATAATAATTAATTATGGACTGAAATGCCCACAGTGAACTCATTTTGTGTTAAAGCGTCTCTGTCAGCACCTTCCCCCAAAACTAAATTAGTATTTTATAAAGATGATATCTTTATGTAATGCTCACATTGACTCTGTTGGATCTTACATGAAATTTTAACGCAGTCTAAAGATAAGACAGAACTTGACAAAACGCTGGCCTGCTGCCATGAGGTTTTGTCGATTTCCCCAGCCGTCCACACGACCCCCCATAGACATCAGACTTGTTCTTATGCACGTAATTGTTCAGCTCTGATGTGGGATCGTGGCAGATAAAGTACCAGAAGTTGAAGAGGATCCACCAGATGGAGATGACTGCAACTGTGAGGGACAACTTGAGTTGTGTAAAACCTACCTTATCCTGCATCCCGGGCCACCGCACTACAAGGGGTGACATCTTTGAAAATACACCAAGGCCCCATAAAGTGATAGAGCTGCTTTAACAAGGCACTTATTTGCTCCTTTGTCTCTATGTTGAATATACATAGTAAATATACCTTTAGATATGCTGCTGTCTGTAGTGTCCCTTTATAAATGGAGGGTAACACAAAGATTAACGAGATGTGGCTCGGGCATTTCCACCCTCTTTCTCCACAGGTGTGAGGGGGTAGGACAGAGAATAATGCCACTTAAGTCCCTAGGCCTTCCTCCAACCTCTGTTCAGTGTGGTTATTATAGTGGTCGGCTAGATGTAACCAATGAACACTGGTCCATTTGATTCCTTGTACCAGGGACCTTGGTAGTGATAGGTCCAGAATGTCCCCATGTCCTCTGGGTGCATCTAGTGGCTCTCCAGAACCAGGACCGAGCACTTCTAGTGGGTGCCATGAAAACAGCCTCTAGAGGTGTATTTAACCCTGCAACGTAAACAATTCCTACATCTCTGTTTTACATGGGAAGGTTAAAATGACTGGATAGCAGCACCGCGAACATGTCATTGAGATGAAGTGGTCTGGGTGCCTCTAGTGTTGTTTAAGGAGGTTCAGTACCACCTGGATGGACTTGACAGATGTAAATTGCCAATCTGCCTGTTTGTGGAATGATGTCATAACCGTGCTGAGTTCAGTAATCTAACACCCAGTTCAGGAGGCTGCAGCTTTCCTCCGAACACAGCAGCAAACATGACAGTTTCAGGTTCCTGCTGGGTTCCTTGAACCCTAATGTTCTCTGTGGAAATTTCATTTTGTCAAGCTTCAAGTTACGAGATCCTCACATTTTTAGTTGCTCTGTCTGGGAAAGTTAAAATCCACTTCCTTTACGCAGCAGTAATCAGTGTGGGGCAATACTGGGTGCAGTGAGAATGATTCGTTTTTGTCTATGAACTTTTAAGGACTGTAAAATTGCAACATTTAATTAGACGTATAAGCAGATTTTTTTAATTGAAGTTATTGTTTCAAAACTACAAGTTTTAATTCTCAGAACCTAGAAATATCCCCAAAATTCTGTGGAAGTGTATCACATTATTAACCCCTTCGTGACATATGGTGTTCGAGGATCGTAAACATCAGATGTCATAAAGGGGTTAAAAGAAGCTCTGATTAACCCTTTGGAGTTCAAGAACTCCCCAATTCATTGATTTTAAGACCCGTTTAGGGTTTAACATGACATGCGCGTTTGGTCACCCTGAAGATTGACGTCAAGTCTGCCCACTCGGTGCGACTGAGAGCGTTACATGAGCATGTTGACGTTCTTTATATTTCATCCTTCAACTCCATCCCTGAAGCTTTCAAGATGATTATAGCTTTTACACCTTTGCCACTATTAAACTGACCCAAAGAATGCTTAAAAATCATTTTGGAAAGCCTCCCACCTGGCACGCACATCTCAAGTCTTTCCCTGCCATTAGCCTATCAATAAACTGTCTGCAAATGGATGACATCTCCCGATCACACTCAAGTTACACTGTCTTATATCCTTGCAACACGTAGATTCTATTTACCGAGCCCCCCTTCCACCTGGGGATCAATTTTCTTTGTTTGTGACCAAAGCTATTTTTTTTTCTCTTGTGCCATCAGAGCGATGTGGCGTGTTCCTCGTCTTCCAACGTGCTGGCTGATTTTTTTTTTCCTTTCTTTTCTCTGTGTGTGCTCCTTGTCTGTCTAAGTCTGCGTCTGTCAGTCTCTGTTAGGACACAGTATGGAGCTGTGATGATGCAGTATGCCTTAGTTTCAGTGTAGGACGTACATACACTTATCCCTCTGTCTCTCTCTCTCTCGTCTCCCTCTCTCTCTTTCTCTCCATGTCTTCTCTTTTTTCGTATCTTGAAACCAACATGTCTTTACAAAGGGACAATCAGCATGTCAAAGGAGCTCAGCATTTTGTTCTTTTTTTTTATATTCATATATATATTTATATATCTACGTCACATGCTTGATGTTCATTGCACCCTTTCTCTCTTCACTCCCTCTCTTCCCTTTCTCTCTCTCTCTCTCTCTCTTTCACTCAGGTCACTTTGACAAGCTTTCTCTCCTCCCACTCACATTGCAATTAGCATATTAATAAACCACAGTTCTGCCAGCAGAGAGAGAGAGAGAGACACACACACGCTCACATACACACGCACACATACACAGACAGAATAAAATTCCTTCTCCCTGCTTCCTCTGAGGCCCAATTTCTGGCTTTTTTTTAAGGGGGCTTGTTTTTCCTTCTCTGAGATTTCACAAGGGCATTTTATGCCAGGAGCCTTTGCTGTGGCCACCAAGTACCTGTTCTGTTGCAGACCAGGCATGTGAAGATGTCAGTGGGTTGCGCATGCCCTGGTAAGTGCTTCTTTTCTTCCCCTCTTAATTAACTTGAAATCAATTAGCTAAAGATACGTCGGTGTTTGGTGCAGGGGACTGGGCCTTCTTGTGGTTGTTGACAGAGAGGTTGATATTGTTTTTCATTTTTATTTTGCTGATACAAATTGTATCAAAACAAAACTCCTTTACCTTTACAGAGGGAGGAGAATTGCATTGGGGGGAGCAGACAATTCCCAGAGTTCCTAAACAGGAACCAATCAGAAGTGCCTCTGGACTTTTGACCTTAGGTCATGGGCTATGGCCATTGATTAATATTCCGTGGCCATTGGTTAATATTCCACGACTATCATTATTAAATCAACCTTACAAACACCAGATGGCTTTATTTTCATTTCATTTGTGAATGGCAACTTCTAAACTGCATTTCAGATGTTGTTTATTTTTGGTTTGCACTGTAAAGGTATCCCCTCCTCACCACCCCAAATTTTTTTTTTTTAATTATTATTGTATCTCAGTGGGCGAGAGTATGTAAAGGTTGTTTTTATTCCTGCAGCCTATGAGAGACTCATTTTTGAGGGTGGGTTTGAATGACATATTTGTACTGTTTCAATAACTCTTGCATTCAATTAACTCTTCAAATCTTGGAGAGGTAAGAAAGCCTTCGTGCCTTCACTAGCTAGCCAAACACCAGACAGCCTGTTGATTGCAGCAGTTCCAAGTGCAGAAAGAGTTAATTGCACACATCATATACGGTTACAACTACTATAGAGATCTGAGAAATCGCTGTGCAAGGCAACAGAAGGAAATAAAATGCTTTTTTAAGTCATGGTGAATTGCTGCTTGCATTCTCGCCGAGTTTTTAAAAACTGTGTCAGATCTGTGTTTCTCGTTTTGTGTGTGCGTTTTATATGTAACGTTTCATTTATTTAAATCTGGGAGTGTAATTCTTGCCTTGTTCAGCAAAGACGTCTTTCTTTAGTAGTGTGTGCCCTCCTCTTTTCTGCAGGGACTCATTATCAGTGACACCGAGGAACAATAAAATAAATAGAAAATCAGGCCTTTTAACTGTGTAGTTTGCTGGAGGGAGTTTGTCTGCTTTACTACTGGGAATAAACACAATTGCAATATATTATTGTTATTCTTATTATTGTTACTGGTGTTATTTGATATTTATAAGCAAATGTGTTTGTGCAATTTATTATCATGCATGTTATTTTTTGTATTGTAGAAAAATTTTGACAATATTGCCACGCACGGTATATGAAGGAATATTATAATCTATGTGTTCTTTTATTTTATAACATATAAAAAAAAGTTGTTTTTTTTTAAATAACAATATTAAGGAGAGAACCTTTGTGGTTTACCTGCTGGGCCTATTAGAATGGCACTTGTCCAGATCAGGTGTGGTGTACCTGTGAATTTGGGTTTATGAGACTTAACCTTTTGAATGCCATATGGGGAAGAACAGGTTATTAAATTGTGAAACATTTCATTTGAAGCCCTGATTCCCAGCTATAGGTGGTTGGTACATTCTGTGATTCTGTAACTATAGTTACCTGAGTCTGGGTGCATCCTAAGGATATTTTCAGGTATCTGTTCTCCTAGTGATTGTTTTAACTTTCAACCAAACCCCTCCCCCTGAAAAACAGGTATTCCGCATGGGGGCACTCAAAGGGTTAATTGTACTTTTTTTTATACTGGAAAATATACGTGTGCTTCCCAATGTACAGCCGTTATCAGTCACTCGTCTTATAAACTTTTTGAATGAAAGGCTTGGTCAGACTCAGTGGTGTTAAGTATGGAGTTTAATCACTAAGAATGGTATTAGTCTAATAAACAAATGTGATGTTTTTCTAGGGTATATTGTATATCTATCAGAGTGCGCATGTTGTTTAAATAAATAATCCTTTCCTATAGAATGCTGTGTTATATTTATTGTAGTGCATGTGTAACTTGCGTCACCTATTTTGTGTTTCACCCATTTCTACTACTGTAAACAACACGTTTGCTTGACTTGTTTCATAGAAGTTGTTTTGGACAGGACGGTCTTATTGGTTAAAACAACTGATTGGTGAAGCTGTACTCGTTTTTATCCCCTTGAGGGACAGTGTTCACTCAAAATGTTTAAATGTCTATAAAGTGTCATAGATGACAAAGTTATACACTGATGTATCGCAAAATTATGTTTATTCTTTTTTTTTATTCTCTGTACAAGCAAACAAAAACAAGCTATTCCAGCAGTTACCTTATTAAGAAATGTTTATTTTTTTATTTGTGTTATTTAATTTGGAAAAGAAGTTTTGTGCTAAACGTTTGTGGTATTAAAGGAGTAAGAAAAGAGGAATAAGCTCCTGTAGAACAGCTTATTAATAAAGTTAACCAAATCACGAGACTGGTATTAGAAACAAAAAGGGACAAATGGCAATTTTAAAAATCTTTGCTTTACAAGTAACTTTTGGAGTCTTATGATTATGTTGCACTATACCGTAGAAACATAGCAATAATAAAACACATTGTAGATGAATGTGATTTAAGTTAAGAACACTGTTCATTGTGTGAATTGTAATTCCTATAAAAAGATCACTTTGGGTGTGCGTTTAAACTGTACATGTTATTGATAAACAATTTCTATTGGTACGTTCTGGTTCCTTTTGTGTGTCTATTGAAAGCGAACTGGGATGCTTGCAAGTCTCATCCATTATGTCCAAGAAGGCCGGTTTCCATCCTGTATCTCATCCTTCTGTCACTTTTGTATTCTCGTCTCTGCTGTACTTGCACTTCTGCCGGAAGCTTTAAAGATTGTATTCTCACTTGTGCGCACAATGACATTCTTCAAGGATGTTTTCAGATTAAGTATGAAAAAAAAAAGCTGTCTTGCAACCTTATCCGGAAGTTCCACATCCCTAAGCAAATGTTAAAATAAAAATAATTGAATAACAAAAAAATTAACATTAGATACTTTATATCTCTCCGCAGTCCTGTTTAAATGTCCATTCATTGTAATGGTTAAATTGCAGCTGTCATGTAAACCTCCTGTCTCCCAACAAAATGTATGCTCATGTTAGCTTTCGTTTTTGCATTGCAAAGAAATGCAAAACAAAGTGTAGCTTATACTACCCAAACAGACTTCTTCCATGATCCAGTGTTGCTTTTCACACTGCAGAGAAACAGTTTTTCTGAAAAAGCCCTGCTCTGTCTCACTGCAGAGGGATACGTAAATTGTAACCCCCTCCTCTTCTCCCACATTCCACAACTTTTGTAGGACACAATTCCTGGTTGCAGTGTATGGCAGCAAAAGAGGGGTGAAGAGGGATTTGCAGGCTACCCTTACTGTAGTAGGCCTTATATCCGAATACTGACTTGTCTTTTATATTCTGCTGCCATTTTTGAAAATCTGCATTCCTATAAACACTTTATTTTTATCTATTCTTTTCACACCTACTGTATGTGACCATCATTGTATCTCAGATGCTGATTTATAGCTTCTAGTTTACCCCCCCAATATTTCTCTAAATGATGTATAGAAAAATTAAACTTTCTTTTTGTGTAACTTGATGTTATATCTTGTATATATATATATACTTTGCGTCCTGACGTCAGAAGCCAAATTTGCACAGAACTCACATTGCCAGCCTGGTATTTCTGCTCTGTGCTGGCTAATGATGTCCCAATGGCACTGCTGGACATGGCGTTACACCTCCGGCAGCAGAGAGGTTAAACTCGTATGTGCATCGTTTCATCACAAAATGCTGCACATACAGGCTCCAAGCACCATGACCACTTCAGTGATTTGGAGTAAACCTTTAAAGGTATTCTATAGTGTAAGAAATACAAAGTTACTTTCCTTACACTATAATTCCCTTTGTTCCCCCTCACTGTCCCTCCCCAGCCCCCAGCATTAAAAGTGTCAAAAACCCCTTTGTGTTCTTACCCAATTCCAGAGCCGACCTGGCTCAGCACTGGGTCGGTGCTCCGACTTCCTCCAATGTCATCCGACTGGGGTGGGCTAACGTGCATGCGCGCTGAGTGCACATTAGGCCCTCCCAATAGGAAACTATTGCTTCAGTGCTTTGCCATGGGGATTTTACTGACACTGGATGTCCTCATGCAGAGCATTAGGATGTCCAGTATCAGTTAGGCGACGACCTAAAGTCGATTAACCACCAGGAAGTGCCACTGGTGGCTGTCTGATTAATTCTCTAAAACTGAATCGATTTACATTGCAGGACTAAATGGGACTGGGACACTGCACCCAGACCACTTTAATGACATGAAGTGGTCTGGGTGCTATAGTGTTCCTTTAAGTGTTAATTTTCAAGGACGTCAAAGTGAATGTAAAATTTCAGGTTAAAGAGCCAAATTGGAAAGGTATTCAGTACTGCTGTTTTTGTGACTTTTCACACTTTTAGTGAATTACTTTAAAGTAGCAATTCAGTGACCTCCTTTAGTACAGCCATGCCTCTATTAAAAGTATATAAGACAGAGTGAAAACTTTTGTGTTTCACAGGCACCCTGCAATTCTTTAAGATGGACTTGTTTCTCCTTAAAGGGACACTATAATCATCA